AGAATAGTGATGTCAGTCATGAGTGTGAAGAGGTGTGAGCACAGGTCAATATAGGTGTGCCAGCAGAAGCCCGTAGTGGAGATACAGTTATATTGGCAGAACTTGGTTTCCTGTATAGCTTGTTTCCCTTGTGGAGGGAGGTTTTCCTATACTGGCATAGCTACATCCACACTAGGATCACTCTGCCAGCATAGAATACTGGTATTCCTATAGAGGAAAGTACTCCTAGGCTACGTCTAGACTGGCATGATTTTCCACAAATGCTTTTAACGGAAAAGTTTTTCCGTTAAAAGCATTTGTGGAAAATCATGCCAGTCTAGACGTAGCCTAGGAGTACTTTCCTCTATAGGAATACCAGTATTCTATGCTGGCAGAGTGATCCTAGTGTGGATGTAGCTATGCCAGTATAGGAAAACCTCCCTCCACAAGGGAAACAAGCTATACAGGAAACCAAGTTCTGCCAATATAACTGTATCTCCACTACGGGCTTCTGCTGGCACACCTATATTGACCTGTGCTCACACCTCTTCACACTCATGACTGACATCACTATTCTGGTAGAGGTTTGTAGTGTGGACATAGCTTGAGTGAATACCTCAAGTCTTTTGGGGCCAAACCCGTGCAGGCAACCCTGTACCAGTTTTGGTGATCCACGCTACGTATACATGCTCATTCGAACTGAGAGGGGCACTTCAGTTGATGCCGGTAGTCCTGCTTTCACGAGGAGTAAGGGAAATCGAAGGGAGCGTGTTCTCCCTTCGACTTCCTGCAGTGTGGACTGCACGAAAAGCCAAGTTAAGCTACTTCGACTTAAGCTACACAATTAACGTAGCTGAAGTTGTGTATCTTAATTCGACCTTATCCTGTAGCATAGATGTACCCACAGGCTGCATCTAGACTGACATGATTTTGCGCAAAGGCACATGCCAGTGTATACGCTCTCTTGCCAAATACTTTTAATGGAAACACCTTTCCGTTAAAAGTATTTGCGCAAAATCATGTCAGTCTAGATGCAGCCACAGTGTACACGCAGCCTCAGAGGGAAGACACTGAGCCATCCTTCAGTCTAGCTCTGCAAGGGACCAGCTTAAAGTTATAGAAGGGTATCTCCATAGCAGCCCTGTGACGTGAGGCTGCTGAGGACATGCCCCGGTTGTCTCTGCCTTCTCACCCCCCTGCCCATTACCACCCATATTTTAGGCTGCAGGAACTCACTGCTCCCAGTGGAGGAGAACTTGTGGTTGCCTTTCTCTAACCCTGCCTCTCTATTGGTAGGTTTCCTGCTGCAGAGGGGCTCCAAGGGTCACCAGTGTATGGCAGCAGAAGCTGGCACAGAACCTGAGACAAATATAATTCTAGATCTAAAATGCTAGTTTATCAGCTGTAGATGCAGCTTTTCAAACACTTTTGTCTAAAGGTTTGTTTTTCTACGAACAACACTTACTGACCAGCAGATGGTTTCAATTACCAATTTTAATATTAAAAGTAGATTAGACTATGCAGTGGAGTAGAAAAAAATAAACTATAATGAATCATCCTGCATTGGCAGATGGACAGACTAGTTGAACTGTGTGGTCTTTTCTGTCCCTAATCTTCTTGACTCTGTCCCTTGTACTCAAGTTTTCCTGCAGTGAAATGGTTACCTTCAGGACAAATTGGCTCAGAGAGCTGCAGTCTGTTGCATCAGACTATTGGCACCCTCCCTATTTAAAAACAGCTTCACTTCCCCTCCCCCATCATTATAAAAACATGTACTGTAGTGAGAAACTAAATACTGCGCAGTACAGTATACAGAATCCCTTATTAGTACAGCTCAGTACATTGCACAAAAGTCCTTTTATATCTGGGAGCTAGAGGGAGAAAATTCTAGAGGGGAAGAGCTTAATGATATTTGACTGAATCAGCAGATTTATTTCCCTAGATATCACTGTACTTGTCATTTGAACTTGAATCTTGCATACCTTTGTGGTTTAGAACAGTGCTCCACACACCCATTACCATGCTCCTCTCCTGATTGCATGAACATTACAGGGTATGAAACCAGTTGGGGTGTTTTCAAACTAATCTGTGAGACTGATCCAAAGACTAGTCAGCTTGCCAAAAGGAGAGCTTTGTATGATTCTTGCCAGAGCTGCATACAGCAGGAAGCAGCCTTCCAAACGACGTCCTGTCGCAAGTCCCTGCTGGAGCTCAATGTAAAGAGAAAAATGAAATGAACGCAAAGAGAAAAAAAGTTAAAGTTGGGGGATTGAATGCTAGGATGTTTACATTCCTAGGAGACTGCAGAGGAAGTAGCCATTTTGTGAGGGAGAGTGGATAAGACTCACATCGCGTTCATGGAAGTTTCCGTTTTAGACATTTATTCTTAGTTTTAACCATGAGACCTCTTGATTCCTTCTTTGCATTCTCTGAGTTCTCTTTTGGCTTTGATTCCATTGCCACTGCTGGAATTCATTCATATTACAGTTCTTCCTGTCCAAAGAGCACCCCTCTGCCTTCAGTCCAAATGGCTTTTATTTTAAATTATAAGAAAACAACAAAACAAGGAAGAACAATACATGTCTCCATGAGATTGGTGTGCATTTTGTCTTTGTGAAGTGCTGCATTAATTGTTGCACTGCACACAGTGGCAGCTGCCACCAGCAGACTCCTAGAATTTTAAAGGTGGAGAATATCATAGCTGAAATGTTCAGACATATTTTAATTATATTCCAATTGACGAAGAGCTATTTTTCTAAGCAATGTATTTAATAGTTACTTTTTGTTTAGGGGAGATAGTTATCAATATGATTTTGACAGGTCAATGTGACAGGTAATTTCAGATGGCACTAACTATATTAATCAAGTCAAAATTATTTTACCTTTGTTGAGGTGATCTGTAACTGAGACATGCCCTTAACTAGTCAAGGCATGTTAACATAAGCTTCTGTGTTTGTTTTTCTGCATGTGTAAAATCTCCCTTAGGTAGGAGACTCAATCCTGGAATAAGATGATCTGTAGCTGGTAAAAAATGTGGTTTATTTACCAGGGCTCTCACAATACCGGTTCTCTGTGGTAGGCACTGGCTGACTATTGGTTTCCAATGGGAATTTAAGGTAGTGGTTATTGATCCATAAAGCCCTTCCTAATGGTTTGGAAGCTGACTACAGTTTCTGAGACCACCTCTTTGCTTGTATGATAGTACAGCTGAGGTCAATGAAGATTCCAAAAGCTTGAGCCCTCTTGGTATAAAAGTATGGTAGCAATGAGCAGTGCATTTTCCCTAAGGGGGTCTCAGTGTTGGTGCATGATGTCCCCAGCCAGAAAACCCTGAAGAGCCCACCTATTAAGACTCGGATAGTTAAAGAAGCATGGTAAACTCTGATGTTTGTGAGCAGAGGGAATATTGTTGCATTTGCTGGCATTTGTATTTGGTTGTTTTCTGGTTTTGGAGTAAGAGAAAGCTGCTGAGTTTATTTTTCATTTAACTGTATGTATAACTTATAATAATTACGTCTACAGCCCAGAATAGGAAGCTTTGATTCTTGATTTTAATAATTTTATTTATTATTAATATTAAACAAGATTCCTCCTCCCAGTAAATGAAATATATATAGCATTCCTCAACTCAGCAGTTTGTTCTGCATTTCCTTCAGTGTCATCAGGCCTGCATGAAATAATGCAGGTTAATTTTTCAGTGTCTCTGTCAGCTCTCAAGTTGACAGTGCCTCCTTTTCACTACTGTTACATGTTAAGAGTAACTCTGAGGTAGTTATCCCCTCATTAGCTTCTGTAGGAAGATCAATACAAATGTATTACTTTGCCACAATGGCCTTAACTTCTTGGCTACGTCTAGACTGGCATGATTTTCCGGAAATGCTTTTAATGGAAAAGTTTTCCATTAAAAGAATTTTCGGAAAAGAGCGTCTAGATTGGCCACGGACGCTTTTCCGCAAAAAGTGCTTTTGCGCAAAAAAGCCCCGATCGCCATTTTCGCGATCAGGGCTTTTTTGCGCAAAACAAATCTCAGCTGTCTACACTGGCCCTTTTGCGCAAAAGGGACTTTTGCCCGAATGGGAGCAGCATAGTATTTCCGCAAAAAGCGCTGATTTATTACACTAGGAAATCAGTGCTTTTGCGGAAATTCAAGCGGCCAGTGTAGACAGCTGGCAAGTTTTTCCGGAAAAGCGGCTGATTTTCCGGAAAAACTGGCCAGTCTAGACACAGCCCTTGATTGCCCCTTTTACACTCTGCTGGTCCAGTGGACTTCTGAATCAAATTTAATCCTGATATAAACAGATTGAAGTTGCTTTTCCTTCTACCTAGACTACACATGGTACAAAGGTGCTTCCATTCACGTCCTACTTCTCATTTACATCTTTAGTTTGTTCTTGTAATACTGACATAATATTTCAAAGTGTAACTGTGCTTTCCATATTTAAACCGCTTTACCAGTATTTACCATCGTGTCCTCTTAACCTCTTAATCACTTTATTACCTACCATGTTGCATTTTATTAATATCATTTGAGTTGGCTCTTCATTTTTAAAGCAGTTGTCTTCAATCTCTCTTTTGGCTTTAACTGTTAATTATGCTAATGGAGCCTTTTTTAAAGTCTTCTGATTACAGCACTCTTCATCTATGTTGGACAGCCATGTTCCTGGATATACAATATTAGTGTCTGATAAGTCATTCAGCTCTGTGGTACTGTAATTAATTCCTAGGATTTAAGGGAGGGGAATCACTTTGAAAGTCCTAACGGAAAATGTTTGTTTGTGTTGATTTCAAATAATTCATGTCTGACCTTATTTACTTCAAAGGCAAACACATGTACACACATTTTTTAGATAGATACTCTATAACCCTTTTTACTTAGTATTCTGGGGGCAGAGAATTCAAATATAGGCAATAGCATTGAGGAACTTTTGTTTCAAGAAAGTTGCAGGTAGAGCACAGTTAAATGCATTTATTCAGGAACCACCATTTACACTTACAGATATTTCATAGTCAAATATTTTTACCTCTTAGTAGCCAACATCATACTTCTCAAAAGGTTCTAATGCCAGATATCAAGAGGAGGACAAGAAGAAACTCCGCAGCATAATTTAATTTCAAGAAATGCTGAAAAGGCATATGAAGAAATCTATGTAAGGAAAATTACAATGTAAGGGAGCATACAAGGACTATAGAAACAATCACACATGCATAAACAAAAAAATGCTTGCCCTTTTATTTATATTCCAACCTAATCTCTGTTTTTGCATTCTCTCTCCTTTCCAGTGACAAAGCTAGTTCTTAGCTCTACAAGAACATTTTCAAATTGATACACAATTTGATACAAAAATATATTAAATTGCCTTCCAAAGTCTTAGGACAACATTCTACTTTCTTTCAGATACAGCAGGGCAAATTCAATGCAATTACGTTGATTTAAATGGAATTACTCAGGGCTGGATTATGGGATAGACATGTTTCAGACCTTTTCTCCTAGCATCATATAGTGGCAAAGAATCTTACTGTTTTTAATATGTTGCTAGCCATCATGTTTGCAAAGAAAGCTTTAAAATCCAGATCTAAAATAATATTTGCTGTGATTCCCAGTCTAAGTCTGCTTACAGTTTGAAACACTAACTCTGAACCATGTGATCTACCCCATTTAATTGACTTTGAAACCCACGGTTTTGGGAACCAGTGACAATATCACCACAGAAGATTCCCTTTATGGGGGATCCTTACTGTCACTACACTTTCATAATTCTATAGGGATGTTGGCAAAGATTCATCCAGGTGGTGGCTGAGATCTCCCTTCTCTAGGCAAGACCCAAAGTGTATGAACACACGGAGCAGTAATTCAGGTAGGTAGGATGCCCAGCCTACCCAAATGGAAGAGATGGGCCCCCACTAGGCCAGAAGATGATTGTGTGGGTGATCCTGCCTCTCCAAACAGAACCAAAGGCCTCCCTTTGGGATGTGTCTACAGCCCCAGGTTTTCTTAATTATTCTGAACCTAGAGTAACTCTGTATTTCCACCTGTGCACAGAGGACAGATTTTGAGCTTCAAGGCCAAATTCATCTTTAGTGCAACTCCTCTGACTTCATTGCAATTTGGCTGCAATGAGTTCTACAGGTTAGACCTCCCTGGTCCAGCACCCTTGTGACCTGATTGGTCCCAGATGAAGGATTTTTTTTGGATCAGGGAAGATCATGTCTGGCCCCCCTGCTACCAGCTCCTCCCATCAAGCCCTCCCACAGGCTTCCTAGATCTCCCCACACCCCAGCTGAGCCGCTCACCAGCTCCCGCCCCACCCCGCTACGCTTCCCGGCTCCTTTCCCCTTCCCCCACAGCTCAGCTGGGCCGTGTGTCATTCCTTTCCCCCCTCCACATAGTGTCAGGCTACTGGCCTCCCCAGCCCTCCAATGCACCAGGACTCTCTGCTTCTGGAATATCCATGGTTCTTTTGGACTGCAGATGTTGCCGGACAAGAGAGTTCCGATTTATAGAGGTGCAGCCTGTACCAGGTATGCATTTCTTCCAACAGGTCAATGTATTATTTTCATTTCCCACACACCTGTGGAGGAATTCCATTAACATTAGTTTAGGAAAAGGTAGACCTAAGGATTTGGAAAATGCTCAATTCACTAGTTAAATGAATTGCTGTCAATTATCATTTCATATAGAAAGGTAATTAATTCCAAAATATTCACAAACATAACTTTCTGTAGGTTTCTGTAAAGAATTGCAAGTTCTCTTCATTCCAGTCTTTTGCCCCCACACCCTCAAGAGTGTGATATCTTGGTAGACAGGCAGAGCAGTATTTTTAATGTAACACTGTACATTAGGCATGGCTCTCTTCTCCTTGCCAAGTACTCTTTGGACTCTTGATAAAATTATGAGCCTCTCCCAGTTTAGCAGTTTCAAAGGAGTAGCTGTGTTAGTCTGACTCCACAAAAGGCATTTGCAGATAAAGGCAGTGGGCTGGTAAAAAGTTCCTGTTTGCAGATTCTTTTTTTCTGAACATGAGTAATGCCTTAGCAATATATCCAGTTTTCTAACATTTTCCATGATCCAAGCTTCTCAAGGCAACACACCTCAACACTATATAAAAACTAAAGCATTTAATGCAAGTCACAGTCCTTGCATTTTGGAAGCTGTAGCTCAGCAATATTAATAAGGTTTCTGGGAAACTGGCCATCAATTTATTGTATACCATTCAAAAATTTGTCTCAGTATTATATAGACTCTCAGCAATTTTTTCACATGTAAAGAAGCACATTGAACCTAGATCTCTTTGTATAATAGTTAGATCACTCCATAGTCAAGAAAAGTGAACCAATATTTGACTTAACATCTCCTAGAACTTTTATATCTGTTTGCAAAATAAATGCAATTTTTGTGCTTTCTCCAAAACTAAACAAAGTATTTTAAGTTTAATATGCATTTATGATCTGGTAGTGACAAAGCAGAATATTGCATATAGATATATAATAGAGGCAAAAGTTTTTTGGGTAATGAAACTGATCTGATGTTGTGCCAGGAGATTTTTTTTTATATAGAATAAGTAATTTCAGCATTTAAAACAAACTTAGTTTTCAGTTTAAGATTGCTTCAGAATCATAATACTTCATCCAGGAAGAGCTAGGGTTCCTCTCCTGAATTTCTTGCACACTGCATGGCTGTTTTAGCTGTAGAAAAAATGCAGGATCAGAACAAACATGGAACAGTATTATTGTTGTTGTTATTATTATTTATTGTTGGCTTGTGATATTTTAAGATGGCAACGAGGTGTCTAATATGAATGTGGCAGCCTGCAGGGACACAGGACTTTACATTTTCAAGGCTTTTAGAATCACATGCTATAAATCAGTTCTATAGCTAAAACAAACTCAAAATCCCATCTTCCTATATGCTGAAAGTTTTGAACATATGTGAATCGAACTCCCAAGTTAAAGAACACGTAGGGCTTGAGTTCTGATTCTGGCCCACTGACAAAAATTACACTTTGTATAAGAGAAATTAAAATGTATTGAGACAAATCCTGATTCTCTTAAATATGCAACTGTTTCCAGTAGGACTACTTTTGTGAGTAGTGTGAGCAATATTTGGGCTACAAAAATCAAACTTCCAGCTAAAATAGGATTATCCCTTACAGAAGTTTCAATATGGAGGGTGCAGTTTATACCCTGGGCCTAATTATTTCCTCATGTACAGTGGTCCACACTGGAAGTAATTTCACTAAAGACCGTGGAGTAACATTGATGTGCTAGAATAGGAATCAGTAACTCACTTTTTTGTGTATTTGTTCAAGCTTTACCACTTTTATTTAGTTAGGGTGTAGCATACTTACAAACTACATAAGAAAAACAGACAAATGCAATGCACAATAAATGTAAAGCTAAATAAATATACAGTGTAAAAGTTGTAGCATATGTTTTATCTTGCTAAGAATTAAGTCACATTTAAATTTCCTGCACTAACTTTTATACAGCCACTGAAGGAGGAACTGGCAAGCCTGTAAAGAAGAGGCATTATTAATCCTGTTGAAACTAGCACTGAGTGAATCAGCAGCCTGGCAGTGGTTAGAAAACCTTCAGCTAACCTCAGATGTTGCATTGACCCAAAACCATTTAACAGAACATTGAAAAGAAGTCACTACCCATTACTAATAACTGGAGATATACTATCTGATTTACCCACAGCAAAAGTGCTCGGTATTTGTGAGGTCAAGAATGGGTTTTGGCATAGACATTGAACTACATGGGCCACCCAGCCACTGGACAATCTTTGTTACATCTTTTGGCAAGTACTGCTAGGTGTGAATGCTTATATGCAACCAGCCCGGCTCAGAGGCAGGGGGACAGGAGGACTGGCCAGGGGTGGTGAAAATAAATCTGATATATAGCTTGATCAATTGATATAACCGATGATTTATTAGGGTAACATAACCACTTGTCTCAAATAACAGGTTCTTTTCAGGAAGTTGTTTAGAATTAATTAAGAAGATAAAAGTGGTGGAAAATACACATATAAGCTTTAGTTAATATAGACAACTGGCAGATACACAAGAAGATGAATAAAATAAGCAGAATAATGTGGTTTTCTGCACTGTTCATATTTACAACCTTCCATTGTATTCACAACGTTACATTGTGGAGGGCATTAAAATCAAAGATGGAAGGGAAATTAAGTGGAGCACATAAGTGGAGTGGGTCATAATTTAGTTCATATCCTCTCATGGACTTTATGAACCTGAAAAATAGGAAACTGGACTGGACCCTCTATACCCAAGCTTAACGTAACTTATTTGGGTACACAATCAGTGTTAAAAATCGGAAACTGAAAGCACAACCGTCTACCAAATCATAGGCTACGTCTACATTGGCAAGATTTTGCTCAAATACTTTTAACGCAAGAGTTTTTGCGTTAAAGTATTTGCGCAAGACAGTGTCTACCCTGGCATGTGCTTTTGCGCAAGAGATGTGCTTTTGCGCAAAAGCATCCGTGCCAGTGTAGACGCTCTCTTGCGCAAGAAAGCACAAGAACACTTGTGCAAGAACACTTGTGCAAGAGGGCTTATTCCTGAGCGGGAGCATCATAGTTCTTGTGCAAGAAGCCCTGATTTCTTACATTAGAATGTCAGTATTCTTGCGCAAGAACTCGCGGCCAGTGTAGACAGGCGGCAAGTTTTTGTGCAAAAGCGGCTGCTTTTGCGCACAATCTTGCCAATGTAGACACAGCCGCTGTGTTTTATTAAAAGTTTAAAATGAAGTTGGGAGTGGTGATTGCACATCTAGTTTCCCAAATAGTTATAACTTGTTCAATTAGTTGCTGCACAAAATTGTCCATTCATTTTTTAGGTTACTCTTTTCACAGAATCTTCCACTGAGATAATTGCACTGGATGCGATGAGGTAGCAGTAGCTGATTCTTTTGACCTATTCTGTGGTTGTACTTCTCCTAGCCACACATATAGGAGTGATCACCTCAGACACATTACACCTGCATATATACTGATAGCCTTCAACAGAGCAAGAGGCGTGGTTGGGTGCTTTATATTTGGTCATGTTGATATACCACCAAGCAGGGTGCCTCCCTCCCGCCTCACGCCCTACCCCCATTCCACCCCTTCCCCTGAGCCCTACCCCTGCTCTGTCTCTTCCCATTCCTACTCCAACCCTTACCGGAAGCCCCCCCTCCCAAAGCAAAACCAGCCAGGAGTTTACCAGGGGTCCTACTGTGGTGTGGCAGCAGGGATCGTCCTTCCAACACACACTTCACTTCTACACGGCAGCGGGAAGCTAAGCAACCCAGGCCCAGGGTGCTATGCTTCCTCCAGCTGCAATGAAATGGTGTTCCTCAGGCTGGGAGGAGGTGGGGCAGAGAGGAGCCTGTAGCCAAATTGTTCCGGCTCACACTGCCATGGTGTGTGTGTTTGTGGGAGACCTTTGCTGCTGCCCCATGCCAGCGCCCTTACCCCCAGGTAAACCCCTGGGCCTCCCTGGCACCTGACCAGAGGATGGTTAGGGCAGCCACCGTGGGATATACCTAAAGCACAGAGCCTGGAGCGGCCGTCTTGAACCATCCTATGGACAGGCAGCTCTGTCACCAGGGGAGGCAAATGTTAAGGCAGCCACCGTGGGATATCCCTAAAGCACAGAGCCTGGAGCGGCCGTCTTGAACCATCCTATGGACAGGCAGCTCTGTCACCAGGGGAGGAAAATTTAGTTGTTTTTTGAAGATGTCTTCTTCTGAATCAATGGACTGGATGAAAAGCAGTCAATATGATGGAGTGGAGGATAAATTCATATAGAATTACAGGGGACCCAAAAGGAAAACTGAGAAGAGGGACCACTTGTAGGGCTGCCGCAAGGATGAGGCCAGTTGTTTACAGATCCCCTATATTGGACATCTGGGGTACGTCTAGACAGTGGCACTATTTCAGAATACGTCTGGTATCCTGAAATAAGTTTTCCATATCTTCACAGCACCCCTGTTATTTCAAAATGCAATCAAAATAACAGGCTTGATATTCCGACATCCCAGTAAACCTCATTCCATGAGGATTAAGGGACTTGTTGGAATAGTGTTTTATTCAAAAATGTGGCACTGTGTAGAAAGTGCCAAAATTTAAAATAGACTATCTCAAAATAAGCTACGCAATTTGCGAACCTCAAATTGTGTAGCTTATTTCGAGTTAGAGCTGCAGGGTAGACACACCCCTGGTGACTTCCGAGAGACTGACTACAACCTGAAAATCTGACCACTGATAAATGGCCAGACCA